CACAAAACCTCAAGAACTCAAAGCATTCAACATCAAGAACGAAATTATGAATAAAAATCACATGATTGGCATGTGGGTTAATGATCACAACATTATGAAAGCTTACATACCTCTATTTAGCGAAATAAATCCTTGATTCGCAAGAAACCTTAACTATTCTTCCTTTTCTCCTCTTTTCTCTTCGTGAACTCTCTTTTAAAACCCTAAGCGTATTTAGGATTTTGAAAATTGACCCAAATAAGTTTAGACCCCCTAAAACCTTACTAAAAATGTTTAAATCTAATGGGGTAAGGGAAAGACCAAAATACCCCTCATTAATTTGGATAAATCTCCTTAACTGGACAAGCTGATTTCAAACGGGCATATCCCACTCATTCAAACTTGAAACTTAGCAAACTTGATGGCATTGGAAAGAGGATTCAAAGAAATTTCATTTTATATCTTATGGGTCACCTAACTCATCCTTTACTGAAAGTTATGGTCGTTTGAAGTTGACCCAAAACTCACAACTTAAGTTTAACTTGAACAAACCTCAAATTAGCTCTTTAAAAATTAGTTCTTTCTAATTTTAGATCTTTCTAATGTGGGATGTTACAAATTCCTCCATACAATTATGAATCACTAACGAAAATCATAATTCTTATCCATAGAGATTTCAAGAAACTAATTCAAGAATCTCAAGAAAGGTTTTTCTGATTGTTCTCCTCTAAGCTAGGGTTTCAAGGCTTCTAATCAAGTTCTTCTTCAAAATTCTTCAAGAAACTTGTTTTCCTAGCTATATAAGGCTATCATAGTATTTTACTAGTTCATCCTCACACCCTACATGTACTTCAAATTAGTAAAAGAGTAATCTAGGTTTCTATCCCTAGATTTTAGTATTCTTGAGATGAGTTGATTTTTAGTTCTTGAGTTCCTAATTCTTTTGAAATTTTATTCCTAATTATTGAATTGCTATATGTTATGCATTTAAGATTCTTGAGTTGATTCGGTCATGTCTATATTTCAACATGAACCATATGAATTCAGTATTCTTGAGATGAGTAGTATCGTCGAGTTTTGAGTTCTGAGTTCTTGAGTCCTTGAGTTCTTGAGTTCTGAGTACTGAGTTTTCATTTTGATACTAAGACACCTGAGTTGAGTCGTTCATTGCACATGAACCTTATGAATTGAGATAAATTTTGAGAAGCTTTTTGAAGCCAATATTTGAGTTTTAAACAGAGTTTTTGAGAAAGTAAAGATGAATTTTGAGAAACAGTTTTAAAATATGATTAGTATGAAAGACGAGTATGCCATCAATGTTTAAGCATTATGGTATCTCGATATACCATCAATGTTTATGCAGTATGACTTTCCGAGTCATCAATGATCATATCACAATATGATTTTGATATATTTTTTAGAAAGAGTTTTCAAGTATGAATTGAGTAAGAGTATAAGGGAACTAAGTATTCCCAAAGGTATTAGTTTTTACATTGATAAAAGAAAAAACTTTGATTTCTGAATGAGTTATTAGTTCAAAGATATTTCAAGAGAAGTTACCTTTTTTAAGAGAATAGTTTGAGCAATTATCTCAAACCAGAGGAAGAGTATGTTTTTAAACATTGAGCATAAATTTATATCACTTATTTAGGAAGTAGTATCGAGCATCAAATTGGGTTAGAGTCTTTGATGATTCGTAAGTCCCAAAGAACTACGTTGCCAGCGTAGGATAGGATAGCATCGACTCTTCATTCGTCTCCTCACTACCTATGAGAAGGCCAATTGGATGGATCCTTAGTCACGATATCATCATATACCCCGAAAAAGTATAGAATGGCCCTGGCAACATGAGGAAAAACGTTGTATCATTGCCAGGCTCATAGTAATGGTTATCGATTAGAGAAACTCCCCACAAGTAAAGTATATTATTTTCATGTTGCTTTCATTATATATTTTATTTTAAATCTTAAATGATTTTCACTTCATGTTCATGTATTGATTCAGTTGAGTGTATATATATATATATATATATATATATATATATATATATATATATATATATATATATTATAGTCTTTTCATTTAGTTATTTGTTATTCAGCTATATTACATACTTGTAAATTCAATGTACTAATGTCATTTGACCTGCATCTTTTAATGATGCAATTACAGGTTCTTAGGATCCTCAACAAGAGTCCGTTGAGATCAATTCGTCTGCTCGCCATCTCTTTGAGTAAGACCTCCTTGCTTTCGGAGGACCCCAGTTTTATGAGTTGTTGTATTAGTAACATTTTGAGTAGTCGTGGGTTTTGTCCCAACACATGTCCCTGGATGTAGCCGGCACTCGATATCACCCATACACATATTTTTCTCTGTTGTGCGATATCTTTAGTTAAGTATGAATTATGTCAAAAAATGATAAGTTTTCATAGAAAACCTTCTTCATTATAACATTCACTACACCATTTTAGGCCTACGGCCACACCAGTAAAGTGTAGCCTAAACTACCGAAAAGTGTGGCCTTTGATAAAAGGCTACACTTTTAAACTTTAAGCAACACTTTTCCTGGGGTGCCCAAAAGAAGCGTAACCTTAAAGTTTAGGCAACACTTTTCATCAGCGACGCTTAAAAGCGTAGCCTAAATGGCAAAATGGCCACGTTTTTATGTACCTCATATAGCAACTTTTTTATCTCATACAACTACACTTTTAAGTGTGGCCTTAGCTTCCTTATTGCCCACAATTTTAAAGTGTTGCCTTTTCTATCTAATGTATGGCAACGATTTTAAAGTGTTGCCTTTTCTATCTAATGTATGACAACACTTTGAAGTGTAGTCCTTGCCCATGTGCATACAATAATTTACAGCCCTATGACTACACTTTTAAGTGTGGTAATACTATTTTGGCAATAAAATATTTATATGCCACAATTTCTAATTAAAAAACACCAATATTGTTATGCAATAAATAATCTCAAGCATTAAATTGGCTAATAAGTAATTCAAATATATAAATTTGCAATAAATTTCAAAAGATAGTATGTCTTGTGTACATACACATACTTGTACACATACTTATAAAGCAATATTCTACATATGTGTACACCATAGTTCATCTGAGTCAGTGTTTCTTGGAGTAGCCAGAACTAACAAACTTGCAGCTCCTTGGGGCAAAGATGTGGCAGAAGAACAACATTTGCTTGCTTGTTGATGCTCGTACTTCTTCCTGCTTATGCTAACTTGCTTTGTTTTGAAGGAACACAGTAGGTTGCGGTGGAGTTATACGTGTACGGTCAGATTCAGTCTGTGTAAAATGGACAGCAACAAGATTTTGGGTAAGAGCATGCGTTCGAGCAGAGTATTCTGCTCGGCGTCATGCCAGAAGAAGTCTGTTCTCTATCTCGTTAGTTGGAGAAGTCGGAGTTCCAAAATCCTACAGAAGGTGCTGCAAGTATGCATTGTATTAGTTAAAACTATGTAAAAATGGAGATTCAAATGAAGATGGTACTCTTGAGCCACTCTAATTAACTAAAAGGTCAAATGACAGCTATATCGAGTAACCAATAAGGGTCGTATAATCCAAAATCAGTTAGTAAATTTTCAGGAGTATGGTCTCCAAATGCTGCATAGCAAAAACAACCATAGAGCATGTAGAAAACTGTTGTTACTGATACACTAATTAGAGTTGCATTTTTCATTGTTTTGGCTTCTGAGGGTGGGGATTTGATTGTATCCTGTATTATATAGGAAATTACTACGGCATCAAGTTAAACTATGAGGAATGAATGAAAAATGCTCCATATCGTTACCTGAATCTCCATAAGGATGAGGAAGTAAGAATTGGCAAAAGCAATAGCTCACAGTGCTTGTAAAGTTCTCCAAACTTTTTGCATTTCAGTCACAGTTCCAATGCTAACTCTAGTTAAACTTCCTCCAATTTTTTAGTTTCTTTAAATAAAAAAGGTACATAAAACTTAGAACTTGCAATGTTCCCAGACCCTCCAAAAATGTAGCAATAGTAGGCTAGAAGGTGACAAACCTACTACTTGAGCAATGCCTAAACCTAAACCGATCGTCGAGCAAGTGAAAGAAAGTACAACAACAACAATTGAAAGTCGTCAAATTTGATCAAAATCTGGAATTTGTGAGAAGATGGATTTCTATTACTCCAAATATGATGTAATAAGTAACAAAAGAGAATAAAAGCATAACAATAGTACCATCAATCCAACCAAGTTGAGCAATAGCAAGCCAAAGATAAAACGCTTGAACCAATAACAACAATTATGATATGAGCACTTGGAGCCCAAACGCAGGGAAATCCTCACCCTTGAAGTACTTGTCCAACATATCATTTGTTCTAGCTGCATACCTCAACTGCAAAATTGCTAGTAACAAGCTTCTCTCAGTTTGCTCACAATTATAATGTCGTGAAAGTAAAGAATAAGAAAAGCCTAAAGAAATTGGAGAAAACAGAGTATTTACAAACCTGTGCATCAATGGTAGTCCCAGAATGTGAGGAGTCATAGCTTGGTTTGGCATGTAGCGCCACAGATGGTCCTTGGGAGCTGGTTGTGGGTACCAAACATCTCCATTGTATCCTAAATTTTAGGGAAAATAACTAAAAGAAAGCACTCAATATAGTTTTAGAAGTATTTCTTTCTTCAAAGGGTTCGGCAATTCAACAAGATATGGAACTACTCTTACATCTCCAGGAATCTTAAAAATACTTCATTGGCAATCATATTATTCTAGCAACACAAGTTGTTGGGAACATATATCATCCTATTGATGACCTCTAACTGATGACAAAGTTTGAAATAGAAAATTAAAGGAAGAAGGTAAAGAAAACATGATCTCTAACAACATATTACTCGTAGCAGTGGTTCACACAGAGAATATCAAATGTTTTTTGCATCATGCCAAAGGCGTATTGATGACCACTATGTCACATTTCGACATCATCTTATCGAGATCTTCCTCAAATTTTGCTCCAATTTGATTCTCTAGCTCAGAATCCAGCTTAATCCGCAACTGAGACAGTATTGCTTCCAGTGACCTCTGCTACCGTCAATCCAGTAGAAGTAGCCGCTTTCAGATCGACATGATCTGATCCAATTCCACCTGTCAGCAGAAGTTGTAGATTTTTTGCCTTCTTCATCCTTTCAGTCATGACATAGGCAGGATGAAAAGGGGCCGAAATCAACACATGGAGATCAGGAATAAATGTTCCTGCTATGACAGTTAAATTCTCCTCGCGTGAGCCATTTATTTTTTAAAACCTAAACACATACATGCATGTTTTAAACGAAAAAAAACTACTCCTTTCCAGATGTGTTTAGTTGTACAAGCATGAAGAGTAAATCAGTAAAGGGACTATCTTTAGAAATGCATAGGCTTCAGTGGAGTAATGGATAGAACATGAGAGATTATAGATTAGAAGTAACTAACCACAATCTGGTCCTTCTTTTTCAGGAGTGACTATGTACTGATGACCTTTAGATTCTAACCATTCACGTATCCCCAAGGCATTTTCTGCACAGCCCAAAAAGTTGTGGTTCATTTCAGCATATTCATTTGCTTTGTAGAAAACACCCACAATCTTTTTGGGGCCAAGGAAAGCCTGTAAAATATAGAAGAAATAAAAGGTGAGTGGACAGAATATACATGAATATTTTAAGGTCATATAGTAAGCTGGATGTGCTAATATTATTATCCAAATCATATAATCTTGTAGTCTATAGATGCACCAGCTGGCAAAAAATAAGCAATATTCAATATACTTGTGTTGATCATTTACGTCCAAACTAATAATTGATAGTACGAAATTTCATTATCTTCACATAAATTTCATGATCTTCACACACATCTACCATTGTCCTTGAGACCCGTGAAACATTTCACTCTTCACTTACTTTATATAAAAATACCAGAAATTACACGTGAAAATTCAAGTAAGCAAGTATCATTAGTAATGATCGGAAAAGAACTATTGTGGTCCTGCCGGCTTAGATTTTCGGGTCCCTATTGGAATACTTTCCCGAGCAAGCTGAATTCCTGAACAAGATGATCAACAGCTGATGTTAGTTTCTGCTCTAACTTCATGCCTAGTAGGATAGAGGAAATAGTTTTCATCTCAAAAATCTATTTATTTCCGCAAATGTAATGGCTTGGACTGTTGGAGATCAATTTCATGTCTCGACAGTCTGACTGCAATTTTCCAGTGTACCATTCATCAAGTTTTGCAGAATTTTGAACATAGGATAGATACATTATGATGGCCTTCAGCCTCAGCTATCACCATTCCTTTTTTAGCATCAGGAAAACAAGAGCAGAACTGGACGTTACATAACTACGTGCAGATTACCTGACTAATGGTATATTGAGCATCATGGTGTCAGTACTATTTACAGAATAACAACCCTTTAAATCCAATCCAAAGTTATAGCACAGATAATACAAGTTGTGTGAGATCAAGGTGGAGAGGAAATTAAAGGACTCAAGCAGGCAGCAATAACAGTAAATCATTCTGTTTCTTTCTAGAGAGTTGTCACCATACTTGATGTTCCTACTTAACAATCATTCATCAGCTTACAAACATTAGAATTTAAAAATGGTGAAAACTAGAGAAAAAGGGTAAGCAAAACAAGGCATCACATAGCTAATTGCAGATTACCTGTAAAGCCACCAGAAAAAAACTGGGAGCCTGTCATGCTATCAAACTCCTGTTTTCGTACAGTTCTTAGCCGGAGATAGTAAGCAAAGACTACAACTTTTAACTTTGCAACACATATCACAGCTAAAAGCTACCTAAATGAATGCTCAACATGTCGTTTTTAGAAGCAAAAACAAAAAAACTACCTAATAAAAAGACATACAAATCAAAGAAGCCACACGACAATAATCAAAATATCCTAAAGAGTTACACTTACAAAGATGGTAGAAGATAGTGAATGTGCAGTTGACGAAGTAAATGTGTATCTAAAAAAGAACAATACTCAACAAATCAGTCATATTAGTCATCCAAACTAGAGTGAGCGAGTTCAGAATGACTACATTGTATGCTTACAACTGCTTAACGTTATCTTCTGGAGAGTTGTATCTGTCTCCAAAAGAAAGAAAGAAATTATCGAGACCACTATAACAACACAATATTTGTGGCAAGTGTGCTGAGGCTTGGACTACTTTCATGGGCTTAAAGTTGTTGATATAGTAGCTAAGGGATGGTCATGAGTACTCCCTAAAGATAATAAACCACAAAGCATAAGCAAGTGTAAAGAAGGTTCCACGAATAATTTTATCTAAATAATACTAGTGTGAATATGAAATATAAATAACAGAGGAAGTGGAAATGTGAAATATAAATAACATATTGTGTAGTTCTTAACTATTGCACCTATCACACGACTTCTTTAGATTTTCAATTTTATGTATAGTCGGAGCACCAACAACTAATTGTGATGCTAGAGCTTTGCCTCATCTTGCTAATAAGCTGAACAGGCACAAAGATGCTTAGAACTATCGAGAAGCCAATGGTATCATTCAGTGGGCAGTTGATGTAGTCACAAATCTTGTTAATGAAAAAAGTAGCATCAAAACTTGTGTCAAGTTAGTTTATTTGTATCTAAAAACATTGCTATTGTTGTATCTACAAAAATGGAAAAAGAGAACCATGAAAGAAGAACGTGGATTCAAGATTGAGATAAAATACCAACCGATTATGTTGTTGATTTCCCCTTCTATCTTAAAGGGCATATTATTGTTACCTTTTAAAAGCATATTTGACTTTGTTAGCACATAATAGCTACTGCCTGAATATAGTTGTGAATTATCCAACTAATAGTGTATATTGAGCATCATGGTGATCAGTACTAACCACAAAAGAACAATCTCTATTCATATGCAAAGAATATAGCTTACCTGAAAACACCAAGAATTGGAAGTCCCTTCTGCATAGCTATACTTCTCTTCATGAGAAGAACTGCAGCCGCACCATCACTAACCTGGCTAGAATTCCCTAGAAAGATCATGTAATTAGCAATAGTTCCAAATTTGAAGTAGAATAAATATTTTAACATAGTGGGAAACTAGTACCTGTAGTTGTTGCTCCGTCTCTTTTGAATGGAGGCTTCAGCTTCGCCAGGCCTATCAAATTTGTGGTTGGCAGAATGCATCAACATATTGTCCCTATTCCAACCAAAATTCTAAACCCATGTAATTTAAACTAACAGAACGACAAGAAAGGAAAAAGAAAAGAAAAAACCACATCCGGAAAAGAAATTGTCACTATGAACTTTGAAGAGATTAGCACTGAAGTGAATACTAGATACATGAACTCATTCCAGCTCAAATCCTATACCTATGCACCCTAAACAAACAGAACAACAAGGAATTTTAAAAGAAAAAAAAACCACATCCCAAAAAGGAATTGTCACAATCGAGTTACCATTCTCACAAAAAAAAAAGGATTTCACAATGAGCTTCGAAGAGATGAACACTGAAGTAAATACAACATACATGAATCTACTCCAGCTTAAATTATATATTCATGTCATTTAAGCTATCAGAACAATAACAATGGTAAAAGCAAACAAACCCACATCCCAAAAACAGATTATTCACAATGAAGTTTCAATAGATTATCACTGAAGCGAATGCAAAATACATGAACCTACTCCAGCTCAAACTCTACACCCATGTAATTTAAGCTATCAAAAAAACAAGAATGGCAAAAGCACAAAAACCCACATCCCAAAAAGGGATTTCAACAATGAAGTTTCAAGAGATTAACACTAAAGTGAATACAATGAATCAACAAACAAACAAAAAAGTAATTGAATCAAAAAGACTAAAAGTGGAGCGAGAAAATGGAATCGTATAAGTACTTTTCAGCTCTGTTTTCGATCTTCAGCGGTTCCGTGAGAAAAGCAATCTTCAGCTCTTCATCAATTCTTCGATTCTGATTTGGGGTTTCAGCTCTTCAGCTCAATGTTTTTTAGCTCCCTCTTCAGTTCTCCATAGAAAAGTAGTATGTCGTTTTTCTGATTAATGTTTTATTAATTATTAATGTTTTATGAATTATTTTTTTTGGCCAATAAAAATGGGAGGGAGAGTTAAAAATGTTGGAGGGAGAGTTAAAATTTTAGTGAAAATTTTAAGCAACACTTGTAATGTGTTGTTTTTACAATTATAAAAATAGGACATTTTAAAAGTGTGGTCATATATGTAAATAAGTGTTGCCAATTATATCATACTGCAACAACACTTATAAAATGTAGCCTATACCATTTTAGGCAACACTTTACAAGTGTTGTCAATATTATTGAAGCCAAAAGTTAAAAACTTGGGCTACGCTTTTAAAGCGTTCCCAAAAGTATTTTAGGCAACACTTTATAAGCGTTGTCCAGATTTAGTGTGGCCGTAGACCTAAAATGGTGTAGTGATTTATTACCTCTACTTACCATAGTTTCACACTAATAGATTGTTTCATCTATAGTACAACCTATGACATGAACCAAGCTATCTCAAATAATCTTTTCATATTTTAACTTTTCTAGAGAAATGCAAACATGTTTTTGGATAGGAAGGATAATTATATCAATAATAACTATATAGAGTCATTTCACAAATCACTACAATAAATAAAATAGTAGTTTTCCAGTTTGAAAATTTATCATTAGCATTAGTCAGATGGATCTAAGCTTTTCATGATTTTCCTTCTTTATCTAGTCATTTTTTTCATTTTTCCATTTTAAGTATGTAAGTTCTAATAAATCTAGGTCAAAATAAAGGAGATCGATTCTCTTATATTTGGCCAAACTACAAGAGAAACAATTGTTACTGCGGTGAGGATTAATTTAATATGTGATAGAGTTTGCAGTAACTTTTAACAATTTCATTAAAAATAGAAGCTTTAAAATTAATTTGACCCAAAAATGTAACTTTTTAAAAAGAAAATTGGATGTAGGATGATTTTTTTCACACATTCAATGAGTTAAGTGAAACTTAAGAGATGCAACACCACAACCATTATTGATCTTGTTACATAATGTATACTATTGATGAATACACCTTTTTATTTCTATGTTTTTTTTTGGGTATTGTATCACTTGATTAAGTTCTTAAAATATAACATGAAACATAGTAAGTAAGTAATTTACATCCTTTTTTAAAAAACCTTCTCCATCACTTCATACAAGTTCTTAGTTTACAAAAGTTTTAACTAATTTTTTAATATTTTCTACTTGGTATGGATATGTAACATCCGGCAATATGAAATAATTGAAGAGGCTTAGAATTGGAAATTTTCATTTTTTGGAAAGAATTTAAAGTTTTGGAAATTTTGGCTAAGTATGGAAAATGTGAATTTTTGGCCAACTTTGAACAGACATAAATTCTAGCTCATGATGAGTTAGGTGGAATTCCAGTTATGGTTGCATAGCCCTCGGAACGATCTTTCCAACGCCGCCGAGTTTGCTCGATTCCGAGTCCGTATGAGCGAGTTATGACCTTTGAAAGTTGGGCAGTTGACAAGGAAATCCGTCCGGGAATCATTAAGGGCATTTTGGTCTTTTCCCTAGCCTTTTATTTTGGTTTTATAAATGTGTTAGGCTGATCATTTTGATCAGTTTTTACCATTTTAAAAGAAGTGAGAATAAGGGTTTTGAGAGAAGAAGAAGAGAAGAAGAAGAGAAGAAGAAGAGAAGAAGAGAAGAAGAGGAGATCATCGTGGATTTTCGTCGGGGGTGATCCCTAACAAGGTATGTGAGCTTTTAGTGTTGGGTGATCCTTTCCCCCACATGCCAAACTCGTTTTATTTTCGAGAAAAGATGGATTGTGTTTGTTGAAGTTGTGAGTTGTTGTGGTTGAAGTTGTTAGAGTTGTTAAAGTTGTTAGTTGTTGAAATTATTGTTGGTATTGTTGTTGGTTGTGATGTTGAGATTCTTGATGATTTGGGACTTGTTTCCGGTTGGGGTTTTGAGTTGAAATCTATTGAATGTTGAGGGATTTCATGTTTCTAAGTGATTGGGGCTGGAACCCTTGAGGTTAGAGGATTTAGAGTTGGAGACGTGAAGGAGAAAGTCGGGCAGCTTGCGAGGAGCACG